TTTTGGTACATTGATGCCTTTTGCCACAGGGGAGGGGTTCCACCTCACGGAGAAGGATTGAAGACTTTGCAGCCCCTGAATTTGAAACTGCTTTTATACTTAGGGCATACTCACACGGGGACATAAAATCACAAATATTTGGGGTGTTTGGTATCATTTTTTGTGCCTTTGGGTGCCCGTGCGGTCACACATAAGTTCTGTGTCCACAAAGGACAGAGTCGTGGCAAAACGTGTCAATCTTTTTTGCTAAATGATTATCAAACCGTGGTTTGAAAATCAATTTGAAAATCCTTCTTGGATATTAAAATCTATCATTCCTATGTTCCTCAGGATTACACATCTAATTTTTAGTTTTGTATTTAATTTCCTAATTGGAGAATTGAAGTAATGTGTACTCTGATTGTATTCTGATTTTCTTAATTGTATGATAATTATTTGGAAAAACTACTCGGGAGTCACAAAAAATAGTTATAATTGCACTATGGGCCAAGACACAGTTTCAAATTGTTGTTCGGACAATTTATGCAACCCAACTTTCTGACAAGGTAGGGTGCCCGAAGTGCAATTGCAAACTGTATCTTGCCCCATAGTGCAATTACAACTCGTTTTTGTGACTCTATTGAAGTAACCCCTAATTCTTTTTACTTCAATATACTTTTCATGTTTGATCTCATGATAGATTGTATGATTCATGTTTTAAATTGAGATTCTGATTGGATCCTGACTATCTAATCTTACTTTGGGCTAGGTAAATAAAAATTTTCTGAATTTGAATTCTGTGTTTTGTGAAATTTTCGATTGGGTGGTTTTAGGAGATTGTACCCACCTCTTTTGTTGTTGGTTGTAGGGCAGATGATTTGAGGATGTGTGGTACCTGGGTTGGGAAGGATGGTTTATTGTTGGTTAAATTGCATCCTGCTGTTGAGGAGGGCTAGTTAGTGGGATTGTTTTAGGGCATAACCGCATTTGAGATGATGGCTTAGCCGTTATAAGTCTCGTCTAAGAGAGGTAAAAGGTTTTTGGGGTTGGTGCTGCGCTTATTAGGTGAGGTCAAAGGATTGGTAAATTCACCTGATTTCTGCTATTCCTCCTCTTGTGAACTATGGGTGGAGGAGGTCGGCTCGTCGTGAGAGGAGGAAGAGTTGAGGAAGGTGTCTATTGTGTGGTTGCGGCTGTTGTTCTCATCCCGTGAACTATGTGGTGGAGGAGGTCAACTCATCGGGGGATAAAAAAACTGTCATTTCGTCAAAATTGATATCTTTTATTTTTTGAACAAAATTGAAACCGAGTTTTTTGACCGAAAAATCCCGGCCGCGCTGCGCCCCCCGCCTCCTACATTATAGATTATCTTCTTCTTTAGTAATTTCTCGATAGATTAACCGAATCAAGTTATGTCCAACTTCCTTTTTTTTTTTTTTTTTTTT